GCAGTGACATACGCGCGTACACCGATCTGCCTACATCCTAGCCGCCTCGCGGTGGAGGCTCTAGAGAGAGCTCTAATGGCAATATGGACGGACGAGTGAGTCCTCTGACAGATCGGTGTACGCGCATATGCCACTACAGTCTGTTATGTATTGGCCCCGCGCCAGCGCCCACCTCTGGCCGACTTCATATTGTCCTATCATAAAAATAAGGTAGGTAAAGGATGAATGAGTGCTGTAAATGCGGAGAAAGACTGCTCCACTTTAAACTCATTCACAAGCAAGTCAGCGATAAGGCACACAGATTGTATGGGGCATGCGCTTGGCATCGTCAATCACGACGGTTAAACTTTCACATAGAACAACTAAGGCCACACTGCTACGTGACCTGCTCTTTTGGAGCAAGGGCCGAGATTATGCGTGAAATTAACCAACACCGTACATGCACGTGACCCGACGTATACATACTTAGACCGTTGGCTTCGATTATGTCTACTGGGTGTGTTAGCAAGCTGAAAGTATATGCGGTGACTTATGTGTGGATTCGTTTTAAGTGGGAGCAAACATGCACTGCATCTGCCGCAGTCTTTTCCCCTACCACTCGTGGGTTTGGTGTCATGACGATGTAAAGAACATCGAAGGTGGGAGAGGGCGCAGGTGGTTGGCGTGGCCAGAGCCGCCCCAACAAACAGATAGAAACCCTCAGGGTTGGATATGACCGGCCGCCGAAGGTTAGTAAGCTAAAATGGCCATCGCGATCTCCAGGTAGATTATTTGCGTCTTTCCCTGGCATAACGCACTTCAAGGAACAGACATTCATAACAATATGATACAGAAGATCCACAATACATGTGCGAAAGGACACTTGGTACAGTAGCCTATCAACGAAGACCTGCTAAATAGAGCTCTCGATATGGAAACAGCCGTCTCTACTTTCATCGGATGTCTCTATACGTCAAACGGACACCTCTAAGGTCAATTAAAGGCACCTGTCAAGAGCATTCATCCTCCCAACGAGCAGTTTTCAAAGCACTGACTGACTGGAAAATGCGCAGTCAGACTAGCACAGCCGTTCACCACCCGTTTGAACATACCACCTCTGAAAATACGACACGCACGTCACTTCAGCTCAAATATATTTGAACTCAATCCCAAAAAAGATGAAGCTGACGCCACAGTCTCGGGCGTGACCTGGATTTTCGAGCGTCCGCTGCTGTCTAAGACATCAACACGAGGTTCTGCACACAATCTGCCCTCCTCCTCCTCATAGGATATTCTGTTAACCGAAAGTTCGTTTTGGTGATTGTGGCGCCCCGTGTGCGTATTCACTAATCATGTGTTACAGAATCCGAGAGCCACAATCCTAGGCCCCTCAGAGTTAGCCATTACGTATTAATTCCTGGAAGCTAAAGACATGACATGTTAAAGACCACTAGTTCAGTTGCAGTTGGACTTTCCCACAAGAAGATCACGCTGGACGCGCATGAATGAACACGCATAATCGATGGAGAACGGCTGTGGTAACGCCAAGGTGGTGGCTTTCTGAACGCGACTGGTTCACATGCTACAGTTGAATGAAGCCTACAGCCCGGAAAGAGGGTCAAAAATTAGGCGAACCTCTAGATGCCTGATTAATCTTTTTTGGCGGTCAAAGGAGAGCACCTCTGGGACATTAAGTCTCTGCCTGGGCAGTGCAGTTGTCAACAAGGGAGAGAGCACGCAAATCAACCACATGATGGGGGTGGAAGGCAACCGAGGCTCAATCGCGCAGACTACAAACGATCCTATGTCAAAGCTAGGTGTTGCAGGCGTAACTGCCATGTCAATTAGGAATAGGCATGATCAAGGTCAGCCAGCTGCCAACTCTGTTCCGTTCGGTTGCCAACTGAATGCTTCAAGTGAACAAAGCCGCCGTTTTAACGATCAAGTCACCACCATTCTAGTTGCCAACTCCAACCCGGCCACCCCATCCTATAACAGTAGCAACCGCCAAATATTTGGACTGTGTTACCTTCGCGAACTCCAGAATATTAAGGTCAACAACCGTGCCTCCGCCAGCGTTAGGTGTCCTGTGGCTAACAATGCATTCTAATTCTCTCTCCCCCCGCGTTAATAACCACAGCAGAGCAGTAAACAAATAACTCCTCAATGGTCTACACTACTACCTGTTGTGTGGCAGAGCGGCACGAGCGAGTTTCGTTCGCGATTGGTCAGCGTTCATCAGCGAAGCCCTCACCAGTCGGACAGGGATCCCCTCGTCTCGATCTAAAGTGCATTCCTACCGCCTACGCGGCAAACCAGCTCGTAGGTCAGAAGTTCAAAAACACAAGAAGTTTGCCGAACACTGCTGGAAAAATAATAGTATTAAAAAAGCCGCACTTGAGAGTATAAAAATGGCAGCAGTAGTCAATGCGCAATGGATTTCAAGGCCAGTTTGAAAAGAAACAGCGAGTCGAAGTCGAAACAGGTGGATCGCACTATTTCCATGGTCAGTCCGACGCTTGAAAACAGACAAAAGAGGTCCCGCTTTGACCTATAAGACGGATTAAGGAGGGGGAAGCGATGCTACCCTCGGTTTTCATAAGCCACAAAGGCGAAGGCGCTGGGATTTTTGTGCAGAAGAAAGGCGATAGTCTCCGCGAAGGGGCGAAATACTGAACAGATGAAATAAAAAAATGGATTAGTTCAGTTCAGTTTTATTAGGGAAATATAGGTAAATACCTTTGAACTCC